TTTCATATTAAAATATTTAAAATTTCCAGCTTCGGCCGCGACAATTATTAATACTTTATTAACGTTAACATTAAAATAGTGCGAATTTTCGAAGACCTGGATTTAACATTAAAATATACTTGAAATGTCTAAAGAAAGGAAATTGGCTGGTGACTATTGTGGAAAGTTTAACAACATGTCATCTAATATCGTTGTCACTGCTCAAGTAGTTGATGATATAGTTTCACCATTTTTTCCCTTTTTTGGGACAGTCACGAAAGTTCTTAAATCGTTATTGGAAGCCTATGATAATGCAAAGTGCAACCGTAAAATTTGTTCAGCTTTAATAGACCGGGTTGAAATAGCCAGGATAGCTGTTAAATCTTTAGAAAGAGAGCAATTAGAAAATGAAGAACTGTTTCGAAATCAAGACTACTATAATGCATGGGTCAGATTTGACATAGTTTTAAAAAATATTGAGAAATTTGGCAAAGAAGTTACGCAATCGCCAGCTTGGCAAGGATATATATATGCAGGGTCAATTAAAGAAGCATTCGATAAAAACATTAAAGAGTTTGAAGAAGCTTGTCGCGATTTACATTTTACATTAGCTATTTACAATATTCAGCAAAGAGAAATAGAATCCAAAAAAATTATTAAAGATATTGAAAGTTTAGATGTGGTAAGTAATTGATAGTGTTTTATATATTTATCTGCCTTTAAAATACATGACTAATTAAAGCCTATGTATTAGACCACGAAAGAACTCAGCCATGAAATGAAAATAATAATGAAAATATTAACACAATTGAGCGAATACATGAATAATCCTAAACAATTGATCAGAGTAGATTCTAATATAAGCAATTTTTACTCAGCACGTCGCATAGAGCCAAATGATATCAAAATATCTAGCGAAACCAGAAAATCCATTATTAAAGGAGATTATTTTGGGATTCAAGTTGCATGTAAAAAAATGAATAATATGGAAAGCACTGATAATTTAGGCCAGACTGAGAGAGGAGAAAGGGTGAGAACCGAATTGGCCATTTTGTCTCGATTGGGCTTTTGTCCACATATTATTGGCTTTCATGGATATTCTATAATAGATGGTAATCATGTTATAGTTCTTGATTGGGCGCAAAATGGAAATCTAAAGGAACTGTACACGAATAATTCAATTGATTGGTATACGAAATTAAGAATCGCTCGGGATATATGTAAAGGTCTCGCATTTATACATGGGTGCAATATTTTACATCATGATATTCGTTGCAAAAATATATTGGTATGTAAAAGTATGTTTTCTTTAAATATGTATATTATTAGCTGTTAATATTTCTTTTTCTGATCTTTGAAAAGATTACTGAGAGTTATGAAGCCAAAATTTCAAATTTCGAATTTAGTCGTTCAATTGGTGTAGAAACCGTAGAAATACCAAAAATAGATATCATGCCGTGGTTAGCTCCCGAAAAAATGTATAATGCAGAAAAAAATAAAAATATGTGCTCTGGAAATTTTTTATAATATTGAAACGCCATACGACCATAGATGTGAAATGTTTAGGTACTTACATGCTTAAAAAATTCTTTCTGCATTATTTAAGTTAATTAAGAATATTTTTCTCTGATTATAGTTTTGGAATGCTTCTTTGGGAGCTTTATCATGAAAAAATTCCATATAAGAACATGGAGATACAAAAAATATGCAATCATGTCAAAAGTAATAAAAGAGAAGCTATAGAAAGGATACTTTGTTCACATTCAATTCCAGAAAATTTTATTAAAATAATTAAAAATGGTAATTATCATATTGATATTTAGTAAGCATTTAGATTTTTTATGTAACTTATGAGTCTACTATATTATTTATTTATTTATTTATTTACTAAGCTTGGAATCATGATCCTTCTCAGCGGCCAAATGTCGTGGAAGTTTTAGCAACACTCAATGATCTTTACGAATGTTGTGTTCCTAAAAGATTTTCTTCAAACATCACTCCTAAAGAAAGTTACGTCCAAGTTATTGAAAAAATTCCCGATAAATTTCTAGAAAATACAGACAATACCCAAATTTTACCATATAAAGAGATTTTAAAAGCCCACGAGGCAAAAGACTATGAAGTTGCTTGGAAAGGTTTCTCAAGTTATGCTGATAGTGGAAACAATGATGCAAAGTATTGGAAAGGATATTACTTATTAAATGGATACTATGTTTATATGGATGTGAATGCTGCTCTTAGCCTTTTTAAAGAAGCAGCCGATTGTGGTGTTGCTAAAGCTCACTTTATATATGCGGTTACCCTATATAAAGTGGAGCCAAATAAACATTTTGAAATATTTAGTTATATAAAAAAGGCTGCAGATAATGGTGATGATATTGCACTTTATAGTTTAGGTGATATTTACATAAATGGAAAGCTTGAAGTGCAAATTAATAAAAAAACTGCTGTAGAATATATGAACTTAGCTGCTTCGAAAAATAATCTTAAAGCAATCAATTTCTTAAATGATGAAATAAAAGAAGGCTTAAAAGCTCATGAGAGGAAGAACTATGAAGTTGCTTGGAAATGTTTCTCTAGTCATGCTGATATTGGAAATAATTATGCGAAGTATTGGAAAGGATATTACCTATTAAATGGATACTATGTTAGTATAGATGTGAATGCTGCTCTTAATCTTTTTAAAGAAGCGGCTGATAATGGTATTGCTGAAGCTAAGTATAGATATGCATCAACTCTACATGAAGTGGAGCCGAATAAATATTTTGAAACACTTGACAACATTAGAAAGGCTGCAAATAATGATGATGATATTGCTCTTTATAATTTAGGCGATATTTATATGAATGGAAAGCTTGGGGTGCAAGTTAACAAAGAAATCGCTATAAAATATATGGAATTGGCTGCTTCAAAAAATAATCTTAAAGCAATCAATTATTTAGAGAGAGCAGGAGAGTGAGTTTGCTATTAATTTTAATATGATAAAAATACAATTATAATTAAAAAAAAAAAATGCAATTCTGCACAAATTTTTATTTTTTAAAAATTATTGCAGAAATTTTAATATAAAACCTGCAAAAATTTGTCTTTTTTTATTAGTTAAAGAATTTAATTTTAAATTATTACAACATTATCGGTATATTAGTAATTTGTTAGTAATTACGTATAAAGACCTAAAAATTAGCTAATTATTATTTTGTAAAACTAATTTATTTATTTGATATTAAATTCATGAATTTATGCTAAAATCATTTTTTTATCATAATAATAGTATATAAATTCATATACTATTAAAATACTTGAATAAACTTTGTTTTTGAAATAAATTTATAAACTCATGAAAGGTTATCTATATTGATTAGGAACCATTCTAGATATATATGCTTTAAATAAAAACCTTTCTTCGAGTATATTATAAACTTGTAGTGTTCACAGTAATTATTATAGATGTCAAACTATACTTATGGTAAATATTTTTTCTTCAAGGCTTTCTATTTTCCTAATCATAAGTATGTTTTTAATATACAGTTAAATCAATTCCGAAGAGTCATTTCTGAGAAGGTTTAGAACCATTTCTATAATAAAAGAATTGCGCAAGAATCTTTTAAATATGTTAATGTTAATACTAGATCAGATTTAAGAAGAATACAGTTTTAATTATTTTAAGACTTACAATACAATCAAAAAGTAAAGCACTACCATTTCCAACTAACCAAGGAAGATTAATAAGCAGGTATTTAAATTCTAAAGAGTAAATAAAGATCGACTATTATACAGAATATAAGTTTATTGACCATAAATAACATAAAAAAATGACAAAAATTAACACATACAATACAAAAAGTGATATTGCCTAATGCGCAATAAAAAAACATGGCTAAAGATAGTCCTTTAGTAGATTGTAATTTATAATTTTTAATGACCTGTGGAATTCTTGATAAAACTATTATAGTATATAACATATACGCCTATATAATAAATGGTTAACACATTTGAAACTAAAGAAAAAATAAAAATTTAGTTACAGTAACATATGGCACTAGACCATCCAAAGATCTGAGGCATCAATTTCATTTCTAGTTCGATACTTTGATCATTTTCTGTCTTCCTTTGGGATCGAGAAGAGAAAAAATATGCAATACCTCCAATCAAGCAGATAATAAAGAATCCAGCAAAAATTTTCAAGAATGTTTTAAATCCTGATCGATGTATGGACATTTGTGGTATGTTCGATTCCACATTTGTATCAGGTTTATTAAATTCAGTTTTATTAGATTCATCAGATTCATTATCAGATTTATTATCAGATTCATCAACACCTGGTGTTTTTTGGAAGCGATAATAGTAGATTTGCAACAATAGAGAAATATCAATCACACTGTGATAGAGCGCGATGAGAATCTAAAATTAAAAGTTCACATTACTATTATGTACTAATATAATATAAGATGCCTCATGTTCACCGGATCAAGTAAACGCAATAAAGTTATGATTTATAAATTATATAATACGATGTATGCAGTTTAATATATTTATTTCATAGCGATAGTAATTAAATATGCGACTTACTACTGTTGGTAATAAGTTTTGTAAAATAGCACCGATCATATCAAGCAAATCGCCTATAATCCATATATATATTAAGGCTAATGATATTGAACTACCAGATTTTCGTTTATAATTTACATAAAGCTGGCTGTAGAGATAAAGAATCATTGTAATATCTTTTACGGCATGGACGAGAGAATGATAAAAGATTACTTACGGAGTTATAACCACAATCCAACAAGCTAAAGAAATGAACCCGACGACTCTTGAATAAACTAAATTTTCTGAATCAACCATTTTTCAATTAATCTTAAATTTTTATACTAAAAGCGGAAATAATATATGTCACGGCTGATTATGAAATCGGATTATTGTGAAATTTGGATCTA